GCTGATATCTTGCCTATTGACCATATGATTAAGTTTTGTGAAACACTACCATTGCAATAATCTACAAGTTTCAGATTGGAATAGATCAGCTTAGAATTAACCTCTTTATGTTGTGTGACAGAATCTGCTGTCACCAGTTTGGATTAGAGTTTGTGGACTTATTACTGGAGTTAGATTAGAAGCCTTTTCTCATGCAACCTTCCTTGCTTCGACCTGTTTTCAGCTCATGATTGTCGGGAAGATCAGAGGTCCTATCTTTATGCAGCCTAACTAAATTTGAAAATAGATTTGTTGGCTGATTGGGTACAACATGAATTGAAAGCCAGTCAATCAATTATAAAGGTAATAAATTTTTGTAACCAGGTGAAGTTGAACCCTAGACCTTCTCCTGATAACCTATGAAGAATTACCACTGTGCTATAGACTTATAGGTCTTAATCAGATCTTAGTTATATTTTATATCAACAATAGATTATTTATATAAAAAATTTTTGTGATATTTTTATTTTATTTTTTATACTGTATATTTAAATAAACAAATTAATTAAAATTAATTGTTTATAAGCTAAAATAAAAATTGATAAAGTTTCAATTATTTTTGTTTCACATTGCATTTACAAATAAAAAGCTCAAGTAAAAATTTTTTGGTTTAAACTCAGTTTGTATTTATCATTGTAATGCTAATATAAAATAAATCTAATCTTTTAACTTGTCACTATTGAATAACCAGTTTTCCCAAGTATCTATCCTTTTTTTTGAATACAAGGGTTACAAAAGAATGCATATTAATACAGAATATTAGGAGTGGAAGACTTGATGTGATGATGTTCGATAATAATTGGATGGTATTAATACAATTTCACTTAAATTATTTATTGAAAACATTTCGAACTTTTTTGAATGCAAATCCTATGTATATTCCTACATAAGTTGGCAATTGTGTTTAGCAATGAATATACCACATAAGCCTCTAAACATTATAATTGTGTTCGTACCTGCGGCTTCCCATTCTTCTTTTGACATCGCGGCATCCATATCATGTCTTATAACTTTCATCTTGTATAGGAGATCGCGGTACAATGGGACTTCTTTTTCCTTGTCATATATAGTGTGGAAGCCGTGTTTATATATTAGCTCAAGCCCGTATTCCTCCGCCATTCTAAAAACGAAGATAAGAGTTATTTGCATAGAATGGAAAATTTGTATTTCGAGTTAGATAGGTACATACTTTTCAAAGGTCGGAAAGTGCACCAGATATTCAGGACAATCATCAATCGCATCCTCGAGGCTGAACCAATATTTGTGACCAAAAGTTGGGAAATTATTTCTATCCTCAAAACTCACGGAATATATCTGATTTCCAAATTTTAGTTCATGCGGTTTTAACGACTTTAATTTCTTACTAGGATGACAAGAATGAGTAATTGATAAATTTGAAATTATCGGTTACATGAAACAATAGACATTATGGTTCATCAAGAAGATGGTCAAATAAGAATATTTTATAGTTACACGATCCAATAAGCATCGGGAACGGTTCCGATGAATACGCCTCCAACCTTCAAATTAGAAGAGACGTTTCTTAACCCCATACGCGCCTTCTCTTCCGTTTCGAAAGAATAATGAAGACAAAATTGCATGCTCACGGCATCAAA